TTCCTTGAGAATGACATAATCTCTTTATATCCTAGCTCACCCTTTTTCAAAATGCTTTTAATAATGCCCCGAGCCCTTCCAAGTCTCTATATATTTTTGTTTTTCTCCATCACCCTCCTTCCTATTCGCCCCCTCACTCCCTGGATTCACCGTCTTTGCACAGGGCATCCGTAAGATTAGCCCACCCTGCTCTCTACTGCACTGTGTGTGTGTGTGTGTGTGTGTGTGTGTGTGTGTGTGTGTGTGTGTGTGTGTGTGTGTGTGTGTGTGTGTGTGTGTGTGTGTGTGTGTGTGTGTGTGTNACATACGGCTAATGTGCTTCCACTGGACTATCTGCCCACGAAAGCTCTCCTGGGAAAAATTACAGCAAAGTATCAACATCAGTTTGCCGTTAAATTGTACACATACCACACGCACTAGGCAATTCTCCTTGGCTTTGCAAACACAATTCTGTCAAATCACAACATCCTCCTTTTGAGCAGGTAATCCAGTGAGGTAATGCTGACTATCGTTATATCCAATGGCTGATACTTCATATGATTGATGTATTTACCACTGATTGGCTGGAGCCACACGAGAACGGTAACGTAAACGAACCGAAATCGTTATCAAAAAAGTATTCCGTCCACACGCAATAGGCACCAGAAACGTGTCCTTCCCTTTATATATACAGTCTATGGTCCTTCCAAACGAGACTACTCGACCCGCTGGAGACGCTATGCCGGGCCTGTACTAACGCCACAAAATACACCAAAGGCAGCGAAGAAGACTTCCGAGCATGGTTTCCATGGTTGCCCTTCTTTCTGTTTATTCTCCGCGGTGGATTTAGCAGCAGAGGTGGGGAGAGGCAGGGCTCTTTTTCTCCGTCAGCAGCAGCTGATCTCTGATATCTCTCTCCTGTCCAATTAGACTTCACTCGCATGTATGTCCATATCGATCAGATCTAGCTAGTTCTAGCTAATGATATGACTGTCTGCCTGAGTGTCAAAGGACACCTAAACAATAAGCGACCTTTTGACCAAAGAATTTTGAATTTCGGCGAACGGAAACTCTGCCGTGCGGGGGGATCTGCTGGCACCTTCTGAGGGTGCACTGTCCTGCGAGATACCGGGACCTGGCTGGAAACACTCGGAAAACTGTTGTTGTTGTTGGCGAAACACATCAGCCATGACGAGGATGACACGGGGGTGAGCAGGAGAGGTGGGGAGAGGCGGGGCTATTGCGAAAATTATCGAATAGGGCGCAGAGTGACACGGAGCCGTTTGGCCCCCCAGAGCGTTTCGTCCGCAGATCTACCCACCTTGGGACCCGTTATCGTTATCTGCATTTCCCTGTCGGCCTCGTGTGGCCGAACCCTCTATATGATAGAGAACTGTAGCGGATACGACCGTTACCGTTCTCGTGTGGCTCCAGCCTAAGTGTCCCACAGTGATGATCAATTGCAGAGGTCTTATCCTATATCTCTTTTGCAGTTATACTGTAGGATTTTCAAAGCGATTCCGAAAAGGACATTACTAACAATTACATATTAAATAATGATATACAATTCATCAAAGAGTTTAACATTCCTTAAGTCAAATACAAACTTGTGTTTTGTTGTATGTTTCATGACTCCAAAACCAGTTTATGTTAATGCCGGTTCATAAATATATATATTGCTGGTCTCCGTTACATGATAGAACTGGCTTTTTTATGTCTTTAAATACCTAAAATAACCCTATAAATGTCAATATGAATCATTATATTCGCTATGATATTAACAACAATAACTTGTTGTGTGTCTCCAATAAAAGTATGATTTACATATTGCAAGTTGAAAAGAGAATGAAAGTGTAAGTAAAAGTAGCTTATTAAAAATAAAATGTAGCATCTTTGTGTGGTTGGAAGTGATAGAAGCTGATGGAAGCCAAGTTAAGTCAAGTCAAACCTGGTATTGGCAAGACAAGTCATACTTTAAATATAACAAAAAGAGCAGCCACTCAGAAATAAATATAAACAGCTGTTGGTAATTGTAAGTTAAGTATTCAAAAAGGACATCCAATAGTTGATGTGTGGATGGTTAAAACATTAATAGTAATATAATAGATTGCAGAATATATTGTCACAGCATTAGCATTACAGTAAAACTCATTATGCCAGCTAAACCCCACTAAAGTCCACTAAGATGGTATTAAAAAGAAGGATTACCATTAACACATGGTAGTGAAACCAAACCCTTTAAAGAACACACAAAGCCCAAAAAATGTTTGTCTCCAAGTGTTGTGTCATCCCCTGCTCAAAAGATTATGGTGGGAAAGAACTGGTTAACTCATAACTCCCTAAATATACTTTCTCTTGTGTTTTTTTCAGGGCTAATGCATAATTGATAGTTTGTGCAAAAGCTTGGGCCTGCCAGCTTGGTGGCTATGCGTGTTGTGAAGGATGGATGGAGTAGGGAATGGAGGGGGAAACAGCCTCGCCCAGTCTCTACACGGGCCTGTTGGTGGACATCTGGATGTGATCCGGCTCTGTAGATGAGCTGAGCAGGACCGACCACACCTCATTCCTGCATCATACCGTGTATTGGGCTGCTCTAAGTGCCTGTCTTCATTACAAATATGGTATAACTGTGGTGTGTAAATATATGTGTGTGCACAGGTCAGAAAGAAAGAAGGTATGACCGTAAGTGAATCTCCTATTCCGCCTTGCCCTTTTCTGCCACACCACACATTCTCCAAGCTGAAGCTGATAACTTTATTCAAAATCAATCTCACAGCTATCATTTGTCCGATTTACTTGCTGAAAGCAACACGTCAGCAAGATAAACTGTATTCTATTATCAGTTTTGGAACCGGTGGTGTGCTAAACACACGATACTTGAGTTTAATAGACTCAAATGAGAGAATTCTCAATTACCATTTCAAGCTAAAATCCCCCAAAACAAAAATCAGGTTCCACAAAGGTGCAGAGTAAGAATCATTTGATCCATAGAGCTGTGAGGTGGATAGGTTTTAATGTGCTAGGATATCCCTTACACAACAGAACAGAGAAACGTCCAGATATAAGTCACAGAAATTGTGATAAACCGTGTTGCATTAGTTTCAAATGTGATGCAATCAACCATATTTTAAAACCTTCTGTATATGTTCAATGCACCTTGATTTAATCCCTTATCTGTTGGGCATTACACAACATATATTAAAAGTGTTATGTTGTTATACACAGCTAAAAAAGTCTATACTTTAGCATAAGGTTAAAATATGAGGACGCTCTGCATCAAAAAAAAGTTGGGCACAAAACTAACAATGAAGACGGTTAAACTGCCCTATTCTCAAACTGTTGCCAAATCAGCCATGAACGTTTTTACCGGTATTTAAACCATCGCTCTCTTTTACTACTGCCACACATAAGTTGTGTCTTTCTGAAGTCTGATAATTTCTGCCACCAGCTTTTAATGTGGGGTCTTTCCTGTTAATGACTGTCACCACCAGCACACATTTGTTCAAGATGGATCGAGAGAAATCAAAGCCAGGATTTGACAACAAAGCTTGCAGCTTGTAGAGCATAGAGCGTGAAGGAGGGAAACCTCTTAAAGCAAAAGCCTCGTACATACTGCCATCTATTATTAATAACAACAATACAAATAAGAAAATACAGGTTGAGGGCACGGTCACTGTAGATAAAGACATGTCCACACTAGTTGATCATCCGTGATGATTAAGAGGGATCTTTGTTGTATGTTTAAAGTGGACCTATCATGCTATATATGAAAAATATATTGTCGGGCCATACCTGTGAAGTTTTATTTTCAAAATACCAAACAGATCACCCATTGTAGCCATGCCTCATATTGCTCACACCCCTCTTTTGAAGCCCTGTTACGGTACGTCCACACAGCGGCTTTGGAAACAGCTTGCCGGCGGGCGTGTCTGAAGCTCGACCAACAACCAATCACTGATTGGTTGTTGGTCGAGCTTCAGACACGCCCGCCGGCAAGCTGTTTCCAAAGCCGCTGTGTGGACGTACCGTAACAGGGCTTCAAAAGAGGGGTGTGNTCTCATCTCTCCCTTCTTTCTCTCTGAATTCCTCCCTCTCACTCTCTCTCCCTCTGCTCACTCAGCACATCGACAGTGTTAATCAGCACAACTTGTCCTCAGCTCCCAGCATGCAGGGGAAGCAACAATACGGGCGGGGGTTCAAGGGGCGTGGATGAAGTGCACAATCAAGGAAACAAGCATCCCATTCTGCCACTGTGAAATCCTGACCTTATGTAAATAAGAGTTAATCAAAATGACTGACAAATTAACAGATTTAGGGGCCTGAGTGTTTTTGTCACACTGACTAACAGCGGCTTAATTATTCTCAGCTGAGAAACAAATGACAAAGCCTTCAAACTAATCTACAGACGTGTGAGTGTGTGTGATTGTTCCAGTCTTCACTGTGCTTCTCTTTGCTGATCTTACCACATCGGTAGGCTTTTCTCTCATGCACACTGAGTGGAGATTATAATAACAATAACAGCATAATGAGACGTCTAGATTATGACTGTGTGAGTGCCTCTTTGCAGGGATTTTCTATTATTTAGTTTTCCCTGAGAGTCATGGGGCTTAAGTCCCTGGGAATTCTCTGCTAACCAACTCTTGCATGGCAGTGCATAAAACCAACAAGGCAAATCCCATCGTAAAGAAGCATGGACAGATTTCTGAGGATATGGGAATAGATAAAATAGTTGGGATATAATACATTTAATAATAAAAATGTCATTTGTACTAGCTATCTTTATTTACTTAAGTAAAAACCGTAATTGCTACTTTATAGATTTAGTATACTACATTCCACGTTTTCCTCCCCAAAATGTCGTTGACGACTAAAGTTACTTTACAGATAATAATTTGTCATAACCTTCTTGTCGGGTGAAGGTCCATGTATCTCCATATTTGCTCTTATAGACTTTTAATTGAACTGTAGAAAAACGTTATGGGTTGAGAAGTTTCTTCTGGCTTTTAGGCAAATAAACCCTTTTAAGGCTGAAAATAGAATATAGAAAATTGTCACAACAACTGAATAAAGGGCTGTTTTTCTGAGCCCAGGTAAATGTGTCTTTTTAAAGATATGTGGTTCTCGAACAGTTCTGAGTGCAGACATGTTACTTGAAGAGGAATATTTTCAGTATGGTCTGAGTACTGTGCTAAAACATACCTTTCTGTCAGTGCCACTGGTAATGAGCTGGTATTCCTCGGGGTGGTAACACACTGTCCGGAACATTGTGCTGGCAATAACCATCTGAATACTCGCGAACCGCCTACAGTAGGATATGCAAAAGATGAAAATAAAAAGAGGAGGGAGAAGTCAGTGTGTTGAAGCGGTCTAGAAAATGTGGTTAAAAATGTCCCTCACGTCATCAACTACTAAACACATTTTAATGTATTTTTCTTTTCAAACTTTAGTTTTTATTGAGTTAAGTTTATACATAATGGAGAGACGAAACTGAAAAATCACATTGTACTTTTCTTGGTTTATAACAATGATAGTAAACACAAGTACAAGATCATAAATAACATACAATGAAATAAATAAAATAAACATCAAACTGAAATTCAACAGTCATGGTTACAATTTGCATACAGCAGTTTAATGTGTTTAACATGATCCTATTTCCATGGAACAAACTAACATAAACCTGTAACAGTATAGATTCACATTTAAAATAAATTCTTCCGAACACAAACCATGCAAATGAAGCGTGTACCACCCACACAACTTGCCCACACTCTTCTCTTGTCCAATCTTGTCTGACTAATATTAATTTAGTTTGTTAGTAATCATATCAAAGGAATACTTTTTCTTAACTCCACAGACTTGTTCATTGAAGAGGATAGACAGTGAGTAAAACATGACCACCATCAGAGTTTAAGTTAAAGCTTTTATTCTCCACACAGATAAGCCCTTCAGATTAAAGGATTTAAAGATGCCTTAATAAAGAATGCCCAGTGTTTCTTTTTATTCCTAATGTTCCAGCCAGACACAGACGACCAGCTTCAGCCGTTCACTCTCATTACAACACAAATATAAAAAGCAGCACTCTCTATTGTCTGTCATTTGCTGTCTCTTGTGGTGGCTATGTACTGTAGATCATAACCACTTTCTTTTACAATAGATACTTTGATTCATTGTTTAAATAAGGCACCTTTATACTTTCTCTGCAAAATACACCTTTTATTAGTCCATTTATTGAACATGTCAGAATTCTTTTTTTTTTTTTTTATTCTAATAATTATTATTATTATAACAAAGAGATGCAAAACAAAACAAAAAAGAAAAACGTTCAAGGTGCAAACAAATAAAAAAAAATACATTCTCAAATAGTCTCTGTCATGTTCAACAGGGGCAAGAAGAAGCTTAAAAATACTTTTCTAGTCCTACCCCCTCTAGCGTACATTTTTCTTGAAAAGAATTGATTAGGTCATCGTCGTCAGCCTCAGGTTCGTCACGTTGTAAACGAATACAAATGTTTGTACAAAACAACCAAAAAAGAAATAACTTTTACAATGACAATAAATAACAAGTGTGAGTTTTACAGATTTAACAGTTTACAGATGAAACATCCTGTATATGTAAGGTGTGTTGTTGTTGCCTTTGGTTCAGAAACAAGTGTGTGGGTATGCAGATGGGCTACTCACACTAAGTCCCAGATGATGCAGGCACCATCAGAGCTGGCAGTCACACACTCTTTATCGTCACTTTTGATTTTGATACAAGTGACGGTGGCTTTGTGCTCTTTCATGGTCTCCAGCAGCCGATGGCCGGGTGGCTGCAGCTCCCAGACACGGACCTACAACAGGTGAACCAAAACTCGTCAAATCTCTCAGGAAATCTCTAATACATCAGATGTTACACCTAAGTGAAAATATCCTCTCTGTTTAAATGATTTCTAATGCAATTGTAGAACAAATATAAAAAACATAATATCAAAACAAAACATAATCCGTCAAACTGCAATCGTACTGTACGCCGGAGTGGCCAAACACATAACATATTGAATATGTATTTGCAGAGTATGTTTAGCATAGTTTTGGATCTTAGTCATAGATGTATAATGGATTATATCCTAATTTGCATGCAAGCATCTTAACTGAAATGATCCTTAATAATTCACAGCTCCACATTTTCATAGAAGTTACTTAATTAAATGTTATGGTTTCTTCCATGATTCATTTTTCACCCACCAAAAATAACAGAAATGCACAAACAGCTCCTCTAGAGAAATCAAGACATAACTCTGGCAGGAACATGTCTTCCTCTACTACCAAAAACTAAGCTGCATAATCATGACTTATTTAAGCATATGGCTTCTACATTAAAAAAACACTTGTCCAGAATCAGTGTGTTGTGCAACCAACTGTTTCTGCATTTACTACACATGGTGTCTGCGACAGAAGATTCACCTCAAGGGAATTAGTTGGCAGTGGCACTGCAATTGTAAAACGTTATATTGCCATTCTTATCATGCAATCGGGCTTTTGGAGAATGTCAATGGGGTGCTTTGTGTTTTCATTTGGTGAGAATACAAAAGGTTGCACATTTATCTTCAAAATTCTAAGTGTAGGTTTGTCCCCGTCCTGTCTACTGACCTGCCCCGATCCCCCCCCACTGACGATCCTCTTGCAGTCCTTGGTGCCAGCAATTGCTGTCACCCCCATTCTGTGTGCGTTGTCAATGGTGAGCATGAGCCGGCCACTTTCTGGCGCAAACACACGAATCTTGCCGTCGTTCCATGCTTAAAGAGAGAGAAAACCATGTTTAATTTAACAAGAACATTCACTTGATTCGATGTGTTAAGTATCTAACTTGGGAACAAGTGTCACAGGTGTTGGGGAGCGAGTCATCATGACTGATCCACATCTTATGACTACACTACACCTCAAAAAATGGAAAAAGATATGCAATGTCTTGACATCTAATATCTTGTTAGCAGATCTTTCTGCATGATACCAACCACTGATGATGCTGTGTCCGTCAGCCATGAAGTCCAGGGAGTTGCAGGTCATGTTGGGCACAGTGATGCGCAGCAGCTCTTTGGGCTTGTCTATGTGCCACAACCTGATGTCCTCCTCAGAGCAGGTTCCAAACAGTTCCGATGTTCCACTAACATATACAAGAGAGAGAGAGGAAGAGATTTGGATTCGTAGTTAAGTGAACATGGGCATCACCTGTCTGTTGTAACATAGTGCTTATTGAATTAAAGGCATTTATGATAGGATTAACCATGCATCCATTGATAAATTAATTCACGTATAAATTCAATACATTACCCAAATATTTATAAAATATGACCAAAACGAAAACTGTTCAAACTGGACATGGATAAGGCAAGCATATGTCACCCTCTAGTGAGCACAATGGGGTATTGAAATCATGCATTGTGAATGATTAATTGGGTTTGCCCAAAAAAAGACATACTGCCATTAACTATAACGGTTTGGGAAGGAAGCTAAAGCATTGAATGAAGAACAGACAGCTGGCCGAACACGTTTTTTTCAGGTTTATCGGAAAAAAACTGAATATTATTCTCCCAAATGTCAAACACTTGAGTGATTTTAAACAGCGCATCATGAATACTTTGTTGAACAAAGGGTTGTACTGCACACTCGAGGGAAGGGGATTATTGTATAGCATAATGGTGTTCCTCAATTAATATTTCATGCCAAATTTAAAATCTGTAAAATGCCTTTTGCCATTCTCTCTTGTTGAACTTTGAATGCTTCTCTCCGTGAATGGTGTCTGGGCCACTTACAAACATATGGCTACGTCCTTTACAGCACTGTTGTGGCCTGTGGAAATGAGCTCAGCTTTGAATTCATCATAACTGAAGCGGAACATTTGAGCAGCGCTGGTTCCAACAAAGAACTGCTGGCCCTCTCCTCTTATAGCGATGGAGGTCACCGCCTTATCCAGCTCTACTTTCCTGATGTGGGAAAACATTGAACACTGTTTGCATTACAGAAGTAGCCTTGTTAGTTAATCTAATATATAAGATACAGCTGTGAACCTCACACTACACAATGTATTACATGTGGATGATTCAAAGATGCAGTTGTTGGACTCACTTGAGAGTTTTGAAGTTAGTGCTGGAACAGAGAGTGAATGTGCCAGATCCAGAGCCTACAAGAAGGTCTCCAGACTTCAGCACCCTGAGGACATTGACACCCTGCGCAGAGAATACAGAGCACTGAGATAGAAAGACCTGGGGAGTTTTTATTACATATTAAAGCGCTGCCCAAATGAGTTCCATTTCCCTTAGCTAAAAGCTAAAAGACTTTTGGATACCCGCAATCAAGACTAAGTTCAAGAATAAGAGGGAAGTACATAACAATCCATTAACCCTTATGTTGTGTTCGGGTCTCCCGTGACCAGTTTCAAGTTAAAATGATATAATAACTACGCTTTAGTTTTTTTTATCGGAACAAGGCTTCATGAAATCCTCCACAACAGCTATATAAACACTGCAAAACTGATTTTGACAATTTGAGCCAAATCTTAAGGTCTCTAAAAACAAAAGTGTATAATTTGGTGTTCGGGTCTGGGGAGACCCAGCAGAATTGTTGTGGGTGACTCGAGGTCAAATTTGGCCCAGATTCATTCAATCAAGATTCATCTTTGACTTTAGACACCCCACCCCCACCCCCTTCATACACTGTAACAATAATGTTTCGCAACATGCACCTGGCTGGTCTCCCCGCCCTCTGCCCCCCCTTCCCCCCACGGGAACTTGACCTTTCTCAAAGAATATGTACACTAACACTTGAAGCTGAATACACACATGCACGTGTGCAATATGTGGTGTAATGTGTTTTGTTACAATGTAATGTGTTTTGTTACAATGTAATGTGTTTTGGGGCCATAAAATAAAGTTACAACAGGATTGTACGGTTTATGAATGCATCATAAGTTAGTTATGATGTAGTTAAAACAATATTGGATGATATTCATTTTTTGTGTGTGTTTTGAACTGAGATAAATCATGGGTCAAAATTGACCCGCGAACGCCATGAACGGTAACAGCTTTTGAACACAACACAAGGGTTAAAGACAGAAAAGAAATTGGTCATAGATAAAATGAAACACATGAAATGAGCCATGCTTAGATTTCCAAAATAGAAGGCCATCAGGATTACAGTTCTGTAATCAGCTCTGTATACGCAGCAGAAGTCCTCACTGTTAGGCAAAGCGTGTGTTAGCAACAACTGATATCACCTTCACATAATGACTATTTACACGAACCTACCAGGCTGTATTTCATTTTAGCTGGACCACATTCACTCAGAAGTCCTGTCTTCAGGTTGACTTTCATTATGTCTCCACTGGTGGTGCCACAGAAAATGAATTTATCATCCTCTGAGATCTGTGTCAAAACATAAACAACTCAACATTAACATGATCCGATATCAGTGTATCTGAATATGAATGGTAATATCACATTAAATTACCAGACATGGTAAAAGATTGTTAGCTGTGTATCTTACCTAAAACATCTACTGCAAATGTGCCCCTAATCATTTAGTTACTTGTGGCAAAAGCACATTTAGATTCAAAATGGCACAAATAAAGTGGACAAACTGATGTGAATGAAAGACTCTCGAGGCCTCATACCTCTATACATTTCACAATCCTCTTCAGCTTGCCTGTCTGACACTCTGTGGGTCTGATCTTCCTGTTGGGGAGGTCCAGCTCCCAGACTCTCAATGTACCACTGCTCAAAAAAAGAACAATGAAAATAAAATACTTTACGAGAACAGTAGGAGTACATGGCTGATACTTGGTTTACAGAACGTTAGTAGCCAGCATCACTCACCTCCCAGCAGAAACAAAAATATTGTCATTGGTGTTTGAGTACTGCACAGTGAGGCAGTGCCCGGCGCTGTGCGCTGAGGCTGGACTCCCACAGACAGCCTTCTTGGTCTCAATATTCCATACTATTATACTGAAAATACACCAAAAACAGCAGACACAATAAACAAAAAGAGGATATGTACTATTGAGTTAATTTACATATACTACTAAAGGAAATTATATTCTATTACATTTTCTTCTTTAACTGCAGAACTTGATTTGCAGGAAAGTACTGATGACTGAAGTATAAAACTGTGATATTGCGCCCAGAACAGTGTCTCAATTGACATTAACATGGTCTCTGCAGTAAGCTCTGTTTTGAATTTCACACGGCAAAATGTTGTGATGAGAAAGGTCAATAAATAAAATGCTTTTAATTGACAATGACATTGTGTTTAGTGTCATAACGACCCTGCAATTGAGATTTAGTTTAGGTTCTGTAATAACATTTCAAACTAGTAAGGGGGCCGATTATATCAGGAGATTTTAAAACTACGTATCTGCTTTTCAGCTGATCATGTGTCTCTTTTCTTTATCTGGTTATTTGGGAAAAGCATCATGTATTCTGACCTGTACCACCCACACTTAATATTTACCTGCCATCGTCCTGACCTCCGAGGGACACCAGGTACTTGTCGTTGGGAGAGAATGCCAGTGCCTCTACTTTAGCCTGGTGGAGCAACACCTGGGCATATATTGTTCGTTTGGCATAGTCCCAGATGATAACCGTAGCCTAGGATATTTATTAAAATGCTACATGTGAAAATGACACGTTTATTTTGCCATTTCGCTTACTATGGATAGATTCAAGACCATATGTTTCTGAAGCAAAAAAACAGCCTGCTTACTAGTGCACATAAAACATTGTGTTAACCAAATCAGAAACTATGAAATATAATAATAATACTAATAATACATTTTATTTGTATAGCACCTTTCATGCACAAAGCAGCCCAAAGTGCTTTACAGAAAACATAAAGCTGACAATACATTAAAATACGTTAAAATAAAACAATTTAAAAAAGAAAATTAAAAATGCTAAATAAAAGCAAAACAGAAAATAATACAGTAAAACATGGACAATAATACTAGTGAGAATTGAAAGTTAACAAAACTTAAAAGCCATATTAAAAAGATGAAAGAACATTTCAAGGATCTAACAACTGCACCTACCTTAAAGCCCATGAAGTTGACCTGTCCAGAGGCAATGTACACTCCACCTTTGGACACTGAAATACAGGACACATTGTTGGTGTGTCCATGCAGGAACTCCTGCTTGCCATCTTTGATTCTCTTCAGGATGACAGCGCTGCCCAGAGGATAGATCAGGTACTCTCTGTCGGGATGGACTCTCAAGCCAGAAATCACATGACCTTATGGGACAAAATGTAGCATAACATTATAATAAAGATATAACGTGTTTTAAAATAAAAAAAGGCAAAGACAAACTGTTTGTGATCATTATGGCTGTCTTTTGTTTTCAAAGGTAACGTTAATTAAGCAGACAGCCATGACAAAGTGCAATACTTCCCAGTTAAACCGGCCAAATACATCGTAGAGTCTAAAAAAGAACTGTATCCTGACACTTTCTAATATTTTACTTTTATGAACATGGTAATAATTGGCATTTAAAATATCACACATTTTACAGTTAAACTTCTAACATTATGCATACTAACTGAAAAGCAAACCCCCAGGTGTTTAATGTGCGCACATTAGCGTGCTAGCTTGTTATATTCCTTAACGTTTGATTTGTATTAACGCTATAGTTAAAGCCGAAGTGTGCAGAACTTACCGCTGAACCCAATTACAGACTCCAGTTCAAGCTGCGGCACAGCCTGTGTTTCAGATGTATTTGTCATCTCTTTTTACTGTAAATTTTTAACGTATGTCTACTTTTATCGAACAAATGTTGTGTCAACTAAAGTTACACCAAACAAACGTTACCTAGCAACCGCTGGGATTCTGTTGGACACTCTCATTGGTCGACGAAACTTCCTCGTTGCCTTCAGGTCCACTCGGAAATGTCAGAACTTAAAAGGCGTACATACAAACCTGAGGGTACATAGGTGTTTATACCCTTTTGTAGACAAGCATGTAATAGCATGTTTCTGTGTAGCGTTAAAAGTACTGCAAAGGTTTAACCATTGAAAAATATATACATATATATCATTTGACAAAAGAGTACAAAACATGGTTTATTTTTGGCATTTTTTGTTATTAAAAAGAAAGTACAAATGGAAAACAACAGAGTTAATGGTAATACTGAACCCATGCACACATCTTGGTGCTGGTTAATGTTCAAGTGTGCCCTCAGTACGGTAGCGGATCACATTAGTTTATGTTGACCTGTATTGGAAAGCAAACATTTTACAATTTTTTCACTTTTCCATTAATCAAAGAGTTGTAGATAATTGGTACATTCTGTAACATGTATTAGTTTGGTTGTAAGTCAAAAAGAGTTTCAGGTCTTATTGAGGGCATCTCTACTTCGGTTGTGACATATCTGTTGGTTAGTAAGAAACATGAATTCATTATACGATGAGATATTTTTACACACTATCTAAAGGCAGGTCTAAATGTTTCATAAGTAAAGATGTAAGCAGAGAATCGCTACATAGAGCATTGTACTTAATTACCAACGTCCTCTAAATTCATAAAAATAACTGAACACAGCTTAGATTCGAAGAATATTGGGGGGAAAAAAATCTCCTTTGGAGCCTTGTACTGAGAATTTCTGACTTATATGTTGTAATAGCAAAGCAAGCTGTGAGGTGAATCGTACCATAGTTTCAAAATTAGATCTTTATAACTACAAATGTTTACTAGTGGAAATGTGGAAACAACATGGAAGATACAAAGATGTGTTGTATTGTATTGCTTAGTGTGCTTAAACATCACAAAAGCTGTTTTGCATTTGTTATTCTGACTGAAGGAGCTATTCACATGAATACTGTAGCTGGGCTCTAAGGTGTTTCCCCTTTTTACCCAAATATTTGCTATGTCACAATGTTGCAAAGTGGAACATCATAAATGTATCCCTCTGATAGATTCAGATCTACCCCAGGTTACCTCCTTGGTCCTTGCTACATCCTTCCACCAAGTCTCATGGACTACCGGCCAATACATTTTCTGTAATCCTGCGGTCAAACACACAAGCAGCAAGAAGAGAACAACTTCAACAAGCATAACCTCCTTGGGGGGTAATCCCTACAACTTAGTACATTTGAGCTTATGATAACTTGAAAAATGAAATGTCCTTTTATACAGATTTCATTTCAATGTTCAACTGCTAGGATTCTCAGAGGGTCCTTCAAAACTTAATGTGTCTTTGGTCGTCTCCATAGACATCTGTATGTGTGTGTGCGTCCTCCGGTGCCTGCTGAGAGAATGGCTCCACGAAAACCTGCGACCACAGGTGAGGCACAGATAGGGTCTTTCTCCTGTGTGTGTCCGCTGATGTTTCGTCAGTGACTTGTACCTTGTAAAGGTTGCCCCACACTCATTGCAAATATATTTCTCTGACTTAATATGAACATTTTGTTCATGTTCTTTCATGTTGCCCAGCTGCGAGAAGCCTTTACCACACACGGGGCAAAGATGAGGTTTCTCTCCAGAGTGGGTCAAGCCGTGAATATTTAAATCCTGACGAGAATAAAATCCCTTCGCGCAGATAATGCATTTGTATGGTCTTTCTCCTGTGTGACTCCTCATGTGTCTTTTGAGGCCTTCTGAGCGCGAGAAGCAGCTCTCACACAAGGTGCATCTAAAAGGTTTCTCTCCTGTGTGTGAGCGGAAGTGTCGACGGAGCTCTGAGGCCTTGAAGAAACACATCCCACAGTCTGCACAGCAGTGAGGTTTTTCTGGCTGCTCCTCGTGCGTTTTTTCATGTGCTTTGCAGTGACCAGACTCAGCAAATCCTTTTCCGCAGACCGAGCAGGTGTAAGGCCTCTCACCGGTGTGCATTCGCTTGTGACGGACAAGTTTGTTAAGTTTACTGAACGTCTTCATGCAGTAAGAACACTGATGAGGCACCTTTGGTTTCTTTGAGTGTGTGCGCTTGTGTCTCTCTAACTTTGAAGGCCTGTTGAACACTTTCCCACAGTCGGGACAGGGGTGCTTGTTAGTCCGACTGTGGCAACTCTGGTGTCGGATAAGCTTCTCTTCTTGTGTGAAACTCTTTTCACAATGCTCACACTGGTGGAGAGTCTTAGGCTTCCTCGTGTGTACAGGTTTATGCCTCTCTAGCTTTGACGGTCTGTCAAACGCCTTGCTGCAGATGGAGCAAGTGTGAGACTTCTCTGGATAGTTAGAGTCCTCGGGCTCAGAGGCGGAGGACGAATCATTGGAATCTGAGTCTGTGGTGACCTCCACAACGACTTGTCCCGGACCTGAGGAAAAATGATATCAAAGAATATCAGTATTCTAAGAGTAATTTAATTTAATAGAAATTCCACGAGTCGCGTTTTTATAAACATCTTTGAAAACTTTACTGAATTAAAATTCAGTCCGCTGCAATGAAACACTTTTATAAACTTGACTGATGGGAAAAATAATACTATACAAAGAAGCTTCAATACTAACTTTTCTCTGGAGATTCTGTTTTAGAGACAGACGCCGTGTCTGGACCCATGACTGCAGCCTATTGAACACAAAAACAGACACAGTGGATTCAAAAATGGCATCAGTAAAGTGGAGATATTATTCAAGATTTTGGATATTGAAACTAGCCAATAGCCATTTTTACAAAAACACACAATCTAACAAACAATCTTGATAAGGATCTCTCAGATTTGTGCGTTGTTTTATTGTGACAAGATGCACGATGAGCATGTTATTAGCAAGCTCAAATGGATTATGAATTGACATGGTTTAAGTTGCCCACTAGGTTACAGATATGTCCTACTGTGAAATCCAATTGTATGTGTTTAATAGCTATTTGCAATTGTGTTTTTCACCTGAGAGATCAAAACTGACAGTTAAACACATTTATGTTCAAGATTCAAGGAGCTGGTGTCATGGTATACTGTAGATGTGTATAAGGCATGCTGATATGAAAGTATGTAAATTATATTGTTTAAGACTATTTCAGCAAGCGACTGTTACACTACAGCATGTTTTGCAAAAATATGGGTTCAGTTATTTGGGTCAAAGTTTGAGTTTTACCAATAATACATAGCTTTGTTATCAAGAGTATACTCAACCATGTGCCTGTTTCTAGCTCACAACCAGACATGTGGAGTGTTTGATAGTAAGGACACCACAGAAAAGCATGAAGCAGAACAATCCAACTTTTCTCTCAGCCAGCCTTATTTTCTGTATTACATATTTGATCTACAGTATGGTGTGTTAATGATGAATGATGACGGCATACTTAACGTTATACACAGCATCTCTTAAGTAAGGTTTAACGATACCAAAGGCTCATTGGTATTTTAAAGGATTCTCGCCCGTTGAGATATATAATATTTATATGATCTAACATGCAGCAGCTTAGATGTTTATAATACTGCACATCAGCAACGTGTAACTTATTTGAGAAGGGAATAGGAGACAATGCTAAAAGGGTACAAATATAGAAGCTTGGTACAAGAGCTATAATCACAGAATGCACCTTGTGAAAACAACATCTGCAAACATACAGGGCGACCTCGCTAAAATGTTTCTGAGCTTAGCATGACCGCGTGTCACAACAGAGAAATCCCGACTGCAGTATGGTTAATGTCTAAACTATTTTATTGCTGAAGTGACTTTAAAGATTGAGGTCAGGTAATTGATTTTATGAGACGCGCATGCATACAAAAAGGTAACGTTGGCTAACTTAGCTAGAGCTAACGCTGTTAGCTAGCATAACAAAATGTGTATAAGATGATTCAGGCCATATTAAAAAGTGTCCCACCTCTCTTATACTCCTTAAAACCGAAGGTTCTTATATGTTAAGTCCGTAAAGGTTTAAATGTAAAATACTTCACATCTGAAGATAGCTAGTCACTGCAGCTTGCTAAACCAGCTGTAGCATTGTGGTTAACCGTGGCCACCCTTTCCCTTGCACGGTACCTTCACTTGCGTCACGTTAATTTGGAAGTTAGGTGTAGTTGATCAGTATTTAATTTCTTCATGCGCCACGTAGCGTACCTGCTGTGGTATTGTTGTGTTGAGAGGACAGTACGCATCATGTACATCGTATTTCTTTATTGTAAAGAACAATGTGTCGAAATAAACATCCAAATCCCACACTGATTTACAGAGGAATCCAGACGAACTGGCATTTCATTGTGGGCATCGATTCTATTATCTGCACATAATCTGTGTTCTGTCTGTTATCACAACAAATAAAGAAATACATAATCACGTTTTCCCAGTTTAGATTGGCCAACTGTACCGTTTATCACTTTCAACATTTTCATCAGCACTTAAACGCAGCAATAGAGTGCCAAAGTGACGCGTCGTAAAACCCGGAAGTTAGCTGCCCATGGGTTCCGGTTCCTTCGACAAAAAAGCAATGCAATTTCTCAATAGGATTTTGGAAAATAGCTCGGAATATGGTCTGTGGTTGACACACATTTAAGAGACGGATCATGTTTTGTTCAGTAAGATAATATCCACATGTCTACCTAATTTTCTAATTTTCTAATCGTAAATCTAATCGATAGATTTATGATCGATAGATTTACTTCCGGGTTTTAGGACGCGTCACTGTGGCACTCGCAAATAGTAGAGTAAAACAGATAATACAAATGTTTGTTTTCAGTATTAAACTAATTTAACCCCATTACACAGTAAAAACGATCATGTTCACAACAGGTCATATCTTGATATGTTATAAGACATTGATAACACAAAAACAGCTAAACTGATCAAGATCAACTGCAAAATAAAAAAAATGCAGACCATGTAAAACTGAGGTAAAACCAGAATTCATTAGTTACTTATATCATTTATAATTAATCTATGATTCTTTATTGCAAATTGTGCCCAGTAAAAAAGTATAATGATATACAAATTAACATGACATGTAGACAAGAACTCAATTAAAATCTCACTCACTATGTGAATATGTGTATATTCACAAACATAAATATGTGAGATTTAATAAGTCCAATGAACAATCATCATGAAAAACTGGTTTGTTGTTTACCAAGTAATACAAGCTCCTCCCTTTTTCTACTCAGAAGGAAAACTGTGAGAAAAGGAAATAGAGTTCTGGATGCCCCACACTTCGAGGGCCTGGATCTTGAAATGACCCTTGTAGAGTGCGATGCTCTTGAATGTGTCACAGGCCTCTGAATATCCACCCTCGAGGTCTTCCTGCAAGCAGAGTGCATGACCTCCATCACCACCTAAAAGAAAAACAAACACATGAGCACTGCATACACACTGTTATTGGACGTTTCTTTTGAAGGAAAAGACTGAACAATATGTTACACTGGCATACCGATTATGAGCTGACTGTCAGTGCCTGCGATGAACATAGAAGCTTCTTGTTCTTTGGGTCTCTTTGGCTCTTTGGTACTCATGGGTTCCTCTGATGGGGAGGTAAAGGGGATGGTCAGGTAGTTGGGGTTCTGGGGGGTTCCAGCAGGACAGGTCAGAGTTGTGGTGCCTGTGGTGATTGGGGAGCAGCCACTATTGTTTATCCGAGAGGAGGCACAGCTGCTGTCTCGAACCTGCTGATGGGAAGATCCTCTGGTCATTATGTTGACCATGGCCTGCTGGTAGCGCTCCTTGCTGGTACGAATCTAAAATGGAGTGATCAAATGTTATATTTGATGAACGATAACATTCTCTAAATAAAGTTGAACGACCTCAAGTATTTAACAGCAAACCTAGATGAGATACCAAGGTCTCATTTTTTTTTAAATGACTCACCGTACAAACGAAACACTCCCCAGTCCCAAAATATGTCAGTCCCTCAGAGTCATGCTTTTTTCTTTCTATCAAATCTGTTGACAGGAAGGCACCAAAGACCTGGGAAAGGACAAATACTAATAACTCAAAAACATACAGAATATATAAAATAATGTTTATAATTTGAGAATTTCTTAAGGTTAAAAATCTAAGGTCAAACAAAGCATATCAGCAAACATTATCCAATGAACACCAATATTCAATATGTTTTCTAATGTTACCTCTTCATCCACAGTTTTGAGGATCAAGAGTGCTGGCTCGTGACCTTCCACATGTGAATATAATCTATATTAGAGAAACAACATGTCTTTTTTAAAATATCCTATAAACTGCTACATGTGAAACCAAACATTGTATCTGATGACTAAACATTGCTTGTGTGACAATCCTGTATACAACAAAAACCTGCACTGGATCAGAAGTGTTGTGTAATCATTGTCTTTGTAATTATTATGACGGACAGCTGAATGGTCAACTGCAAGACACAATCATAACTTTCACAGTTAAATATGTTTCAATGTCTTCTTTTCGTAGCATCATTCTTTATGTTTTACCATGTGTTACCAAATTTAAACATTTAAACATAAAGTAGTTTCAACGCGTTTGACACCACTGAACCGTGAGCCACTTGACTTTTACACTCAAAGCAAACATGTTGATAGTGAAAACACAACGTCCCTTTCTGTTATGTAACTGTTCCTGAGAATGTATTTTTCACTGCTCTGACATATGTAGCAGTTTTTAATCCCTGATAACTGCAATAACTAAATGAATGCTTTCTTATACGAAAAACACTGCTACTGTAGCTATTTACTTAGTTCTTTGTCTTCCAGTTTTTTTTTTGTGAAAGTAATGAACAAAGATGACTTACGAAGCAAGGCTTCTTCCATGTTCAGCGGTACTAAACAGCCTGATGGGGCTGAAAAGGGCAAAGCGCTCAGGAATCCAGGCCCACACCACTCTCATCGAAGCCACTGTCACAACACTGGAGGTGAAGTTGTTAAAGTCCACCATCTCAACAGAATGCCTTTAGGAGCACAACAAAAAGTTATTATGAGAATCTTAAGTTGAAAAAGAAAAAACATGAGCAGCATTTTTAACTTATACACCTCATGAAAAGTTATATAAAAACACAATGAGCATATTAGAAATGCATTCCTTATCTTATATATATATGCCTTTCACAGGTGTGCTATATCAATTTCTGCATTAACCAACCTCTTCTGGTGTATGCTGACACCTTTTTGCATGAGGGCATGCACATTGGCATTGAACAGGAGGTTTAGCTCTCTCCGTGTGGCCATCGGAATCATGAAGGCCATCTCCAGAAGCCTCTCGGCTGTGCAGTGGCGAGCTACACTCTCCACAAACCTTTTCATATCTGTTCTGAAGTCCTCCACGTCTGCCACTCGAGATGAAACAGACACTTTGTAGAGGCTGAGCAAAGCCAATGCCACCCTATAAAGAATGTTTGAAAAAAACTTGTACCGTATTGTTTCAAAAGTAGTGGTTATGAAAAGTGACTTTGATTGAAGGATTTAATGTTAAGATATACCAGCAACTAACCTGTAGAGAACTTTGTAGCCCTCCAATAGATAGACATCAAGAACTCTAATGGCATAAGTGAATGGCAGGTCAGCGAATAGCCACATGATCCAGTCAGAGTAAAACTCAAAGAGGTTCTGGTAAGAGCTGGCGATCAGCTTACGGATGCCTCTGCAACATCTGTTAGCAAGGTCTCCAAAGGTCATGCAGGAAGCACGATATGTGAGGAAGGTCTGGTCGATATAACGTTTGTTTGGGTCGTTGTAGCAGATGAGTCGGGACACACTGTGGAAACACTCGGCTTCATCCTCACTGAAGTGGAGGAGGAGGGAGACCATTTCAGGCAGGATGGGGCAGAAATTCATGTCCGGGAAACATTTACCAAGGCTAAGGAGGATCCTTTTAACTGAGTTCAGTCCTGCTTTGTTGAGACAGTATCTGGATAAGAGAAGAACAATCAACAAATCATTGCATACTTTGCATTCTCAACGGGCAATATAAAGTAAGTCAGAATTAATGCAACAAATATGTGCTTAAATTAGATGAAAGCAATCATTCAGGTCTGTTCTTTCGAGGTTCAGCTGGTCAATTAGAATAATTAAAATGGAATATGTTCTGTGTCACAAATATGGAAAATGTGTTGTCGGAACACATAAGCAACATGTCTATGATATGTAAACCAATATTATCCCACAAAAGTACCTGGGTATATCTCCCGCCTCCATGTAATCTGGGACTGGATGTGTGCTGATTTTATGTTCTCCAAAGAGCTCCTTGGTCAGTTCATGGTGGACCTCTCTGTCTGGAGTGACTGTCCTACTGCAGATATAACATCAATGCATATTCAGATCATTTAGCACAGTATATTCAAATAAAAGAAAAATCACTTTTTTTTTTCAAAAGTACTTTCAATTCCCTCAAATATGCTTCACATTACTACAAAAAATATATGTTTTCAATATTACATTGTATAATGTTAACCTTGAATTGATGCTTTGGATGATGTGATAGTAAGCCTTGGCCCTCAGTGTATGGGGCATGGCCCAAAATCCTTCTCGGGCCATAGTTTTGAGCTGCTGGTGATCACTCTGCAGGATACGTTGGTATCTTATTGCAGCTTCAGGGTCAATCTTCTCCCAGTCCACAAACTGTCCGTACTTCATCCCCGAGCTGGAGCAAATTTCCCATTTGTCCGACTCAGAGATGGTCATCATGGACACAGGCTTGAGATTGCCTTTACTGCCTAAAAAAAGCATTCATACATTGATAAGATTTGTATTTAAATAAACAATGTAAATAGAGTTTTGAAATATTAAACATGATATTATAAGTTGTACCATTAAGTTCTCTTGTTGGTGAGCGCTTGTTTGGTTTAGTCTTTGCCTTCTTTTCCTTTTTGCTCACTTCATAGTGAAGTAGGGAGTGTGCCCCATCATAATTGGACTTCTCGGGCTCTGGTGTGTCATAAAAAGACCTGTGGAGCAGTTGATACAATATTAAATATGCATTCAGTGAAAATATACCTCTTTTTAACTTTTGGTTGTGCTGGGCATGGTCTTTTATCCAATGTTGCTACACTGTTAAACACAAATCCACATTGTTATCAGTCAATATGTCTTTTGCTGACTGTTGTTTGATCAGTCACATAATATGGATTAAAACGTTTTTTTCAATTTGCAAGTTGAAAGTAAAACATACCTGGAGCGAGGTCTAAGAAAGGTGTCCTCTGTCTTTTTCCGATCACCATAGTTTGTACATTCCTCTAGACTGTCACAGGAGAGAGACCTTTGCCTGCTTCTGCCTCCCGCCATAGAGCCCAGGTCTTGGCCAGAGGATGTATGAATTGAGATAGAATTCTTGTTTCCACAATTGGAGAACTCCGGCGTTCTTGACACATCAATCATCTCAAGTCGTGTTGTTCCACCAAATAAAGGTTAACTGCCTCCTGTTACTAGCTGCACGTTCTGAGGATGAGGGCTATAAGCCTGTGGGCTGTGGTCACGTGAGTGCTATAGTTTGTTTGTGGTGACTCCAGTCGTTGAAACAGAAAACATCTTATGATTAACGGTTTTACTACTGGCAACATGCAGTGTCTCATTCTTAGAAGTGAATTATCGTACTTGTAATACCACCATAATCAGCACTGATACAAAGAATCTAAATGTTCAGGTGACAATACAGGCACTTTATAAAATGATGACTTGACCAAGCATCCTTCAAATAACACTACTCACTGCAATTCACATAATGAGTTGATCATTAAATGTTAGAGCCACTCACTTGCCACAATATATTTTCATTGATATTGCATAGCTTGAGTTTGATATGGAAAGTTTGGAAACCTAACTAAATATTTATTATTCATAAAAAGGTCATCAGAAATAGCAGTGTAATCATGTGTCTTTCTCTGAAAAGGCTTCAGACGTAGAAACAAAAGGCCAAATTAGCTTTTCCTAGAAGCACTCTAAAGGTTAATGTTCTACACAACAGATATGTGTTTTGATCCAAACACAACTTCTGTTTGGTCATGAAACATAAAACCAAGACTAGTACTTGTCTCATATGAGGGCTCCACATGTCGTGGACTTGAATAACAAACCCTCTAGTCACATGAGTGGAAAAGGCATGCATGCTGTTGTTCCTTAAATTTCCATGAAGGCTGGCATAACTTGCACTGGGACTTTGGGCATAATGTAAAAACAAGAGGTTAAAACACATACCATTCAGTACTATACAGTCCATGGGTCTGTGAGAAATTCACCTTGATATTCTTACTGATTTGTTGCTTCCTGTCATGCCTTTCTAAGTATTTTAACAAAGTGAAACATTTGAAAAATATGAAAAAAGAGAAAGTATATATTTACAAGATTTTTTATTTCCATTCATCAAATGATTTACTGCCAAACGCAGTAAATGCATCTCCCCCATTGAGAAGAACACACACTTTGCATTCAAGTTTAAAATAATCACAGTAAACAATCATCACTTTACCTCTGTTGAGTATGTCTACAGTACATAGAGATGGTTCACATTACATGTTTACTACTCATAGCCTTACAGGTGATACTGTTTTCAAACTTTGCTGAAAGTAAAGCCATTATTTTTTCTCTTTTAAACTGCAAGAAAAAGGTTTAATGTGAAATGTAGGATACTTAAGTTTAGTCAATGTAAAGTAAACATCAACCAACATGAGCAAAAGTCATTCATATTCAAGTAAATAACACTTAAGATTGGTAACTTAATATGTATGTGTTAAAATCTAAATGTCAATATCCTTTATTTTGTTTTTCCCCCGACTCAAATGTCCCTAGCAAGGTGCCGTTGTGACGTCACACCCAAACAAGAGACATTTCGCTGGTGATTACTGTCTGATGCTAACTAACTGGACTTTAATCTTTTTACCTTACTCTGATCATAATGTCTCAGGATCCGTGGTAAGTAATATGTTCACATTCTCAAATCAACCTAACTTCCCAAAATTACGTGACTGACGCTCAGAAGTTAGCTACCCTTTCCTCATCCTGCTAGCTAAAGTAGCAGCATTAGCTAGCTCTTGTAAATATTATGACTTGCAAGCCAGACAAGAATGCTCACTCTATGCATTGACATTTTTTTCCATGGCGGTACTGGATCAGGTAATGGATTTGCATGCTTTTGTGTATAACATACTTATATTTACCATTCAGATTGAGTAACGATAGCAGAATCGAAAGAGGAAAAGGAAATGCTAAAAATGTCACATGATTGAATGTAACTGAAGCTTTGTCTTATTCTCTCGAGTTTTCCCAACTGTACTGAACTTGAATCACACAAGCACGTAACAGTACAACACATTAGTGCTGTATACAATTATTACTGTGCAGATCAAACTGTTAAGACTGTCAGTCAGGTCATTTTGCTAAATAACATTTAAGTCCAGCATCAACCACGAGCAAATAGTTACACTAAGCTTCTGGCAACCTTATCTGAACACTAAAAAGTATGAACTACATAGCCAGACTAGCCAGTCTTTACTGCATTTGAATATATTCTTTAAATACTTAATTGTAGGTTGCACAACATTGGGATACATTACAAACAAAATACAAAACAAAACAACATACAATTCACATACCAGTGATTTACTTTGTTCTGTTCACTATCATAATAACCACTTAGGAGTTCTTGCTATGTTGTTCCTTAGTTTATTTGTGGCCAGCCACTGTCATGTGTCAGTAATTACAGATCAATTAACATGAAATCTCTATTCCATTAATTGATCTATAGGTTACAGAATTATGATGCCACGTGTCGCCTGGCACAGGAAGTAGCAGAACACCTTCATGAACGAAACAGGCAACAGAGAACAGGGGGGAACCCTGCAAAGGTAAGGTGTTACCTTCACAAAAGAAAGTGGCATGTTACATTTCTCCTAACATCGTCAAGTGTCTCTAGTAGTCAGTTGCTGTTAATACTGTTTGCCTTTTCAGATCAACATGACACTACGGGCGTCTCTGCAGAAGCTCAAACAGAATATTTCCCAGCTCAAAGAGGGTTTGTTGCGAGCATCATCAGCTCGTCGCTTGTATCCTTTCTTCGGATAATGTTCCAAGCAGAGGAAGTCATGAGATTGAGATTACATTTTGGGCTGGAGGGTTTTCTTTGCTTGCAGTAGCATTTATCCTCCTGTAGAGGGAATTAGAGTGCTTTGAAAAGGAATGCCCTTACTACAAAAGCAGTCGAAAGGTTATATCTGTTTATCCTTTAACTACAAACAGACTCAAATAAAAGTGTAAAGTGCATCCTTACCCTCAGAGTGATATGACCTTATGCATGACCTTAACATGGCTTCAACAGAATGCAGCCAGAAGCTGATAGGAGGCAGAACCTTATTGATGAACTGCTAACCAGAGAGAAGCAGCTCAATGCCACTTTCAGAGGAGACGTCACAGAGCCTGAATCTTCAAGGTATTTAAAATCCAAGCAATATCTTTTAATTTCTAATGACAGGAAAAGTTCATAAAGTCATAAAGTTTGCAAATGGCATTATGCATTCTCAGCTAGAATGGGGTGACACAAAAACTTCATTTTGACAATTAAACCACTATGTATATCCAAATGTCAAGGATTTGGGTGAATCTTCTTGATATGTATAATAGAGGAAATAAATCACTTCAATTAGTAGTAGTTTGTTTGTCCCTGTTCTTATGGGACCTGCAGCTGTGTATGAAGGGTGTTTTCTCAATACTAAGCCATGCTGCTGCCTCAATAGTTCATCCTCTGCTTGTCTTCAGTGGCGATTTTCTTAGATGGTAAGCTTAGAATGAGCCCTTCATATCTATATATAAAGAGGGTCCTTTTCCAGGGAGACTGACATGCTCTACTGCTGTGTTAAAGCAGAATTCTAAATCGTACACACTAAACACTAGCTTTTAATGTTACGTGTAGCTCTCTGGCGAAGGGGAGGGTTGAGTTCAGGATTATTTAGTTACTGCTCCTTTAAGTACTTCAAGAAAAGTGTTGAATAGGTGTCCTCCCTCCCTCTTTGACTGTCACTGTCAGTCATTGTCAGAAGAGCAAAACCAAGCATCAACCCATGATGTCTCAGGGGGTATTTTACTCAGAACATGCCGTCTTTCGTTTTGTGATTTTCCCCGCTTGAGATAAAAAAAAAAGAAGTAATATCTGGGGCTGGTTGTCCAATTAAAAATAATGAATCCTCATTCTCTTGTCTATGTCCTTGACCAGAGAGGTCATAGGCTCTGTTCTCTCCTTTGATGATACGTCACTGTTCACTAACTTTCTGTGAAAGCCTTTTTACATCCGGTATGACCCATGTGCTCTGACCTCTCCCTGTGCTATCACACGGAAGGAAGTCTGTCTGTCTGCCATTTTGACAAGGCGATCAACTTCCTGGCTAATTCTTTTTCATTAAGAGACTTGCTCGCTTTGCACTGCTGATCACACATTTGGCACCTCCTGAAATGGACACACACAAAATCATATGAATGTGTGGTGTGTGGTTGTCTTGATGAACGAGAATAGAAGTAGCGAGTTTACACTAACTCTCCAATGAGCATTCATTCCAGTATTAATGGAGCTTTTCAAACAGATAGATACACAGTTTATATCTTCTTCATCATGTGATGTCATGTCAATGTGACAGCTTTGCAAACCATAGGCACTGCTTTCTTTGTGTGATGTTTGACCTAGTCTGGTCCAGGTGATATTTGTTTGGACAGGAAGAGGAAATGGTGTCATGTTGTCAACTACCTCCAGTGTTTCATTAATTTTTTACATATAGTCTCAGCATTTATATTAAAGTTCCTGTGCGGAACAGTATGCCTACTTACTTTGTACGGGGAGTTTTTAGGAGTCATAAATGTTGTATAATGAAACCAAGCATCACTGCTTCATCAGATCAGTAGAACCAGATTAGAAAACCACTTTTATTGATGCTTCTCTCTGATAACTTTCACAAGCTTTGGATTTAAGATTGATCTACTTAGTGGTGCTTTGCACACGCTTTCATCTTTTACAGACCACACACCCAATTACATAAAAGGCTCTGAAAAATAAATTCTCAAATGAAATGTGCTAATAAATGAGCTTGGCACACTGTAATCCTGTGGTCTTATAGTTTTAAGTTTACTCAGTCGGACCAAACTTTAATAGTGATTTGTGGTGGGTAGTTTGGATTTTTGGGTAGGAACCGTTCCCACTGTGTGGTCTCTGAGGACAGAATGACGGTGGGGGTGGATTGGCCATGCTTGGATAATCTAAGCCGCTCTTTTTTTTGTGAGAACTTTGGGTAAAAGATAAAGGTTACAGAGGAGACTTTAATTTATCCATAAGACAATACTTTCTAAGCATCTCCATTTCAGAAAAGAAGGACATGGCGCCTACCTTTGAAGGCTCAGTTCACCTTGTCACCCCTCAGACCCACCTCTCCACCTTAATTCACTAACCTTTCTTTTCTATTTGATTGCACAGGAAATAGTTGTAATTAGTTAAATCTCCCCTGTCCAAGTCATTCAGTCAGGACCTGGGCGCTCAGGCCCTGATGGCGGCAGGCTAGTACTTTGTTGCTGCCAAGAGATGTGCCCGACTGATTTTGGCGCTCCCCACTGACTGTTTAATTGGATTTTCACACACCGGGCAATTTTGTGGAGGAATTGAAGGGCTGGCAAACAGTTTAATAGTAATCAAACATGTCAGAGGGATTGGACCAAATGCCTTGTCTTCCCTTCTCTTCTAATTGTACCAGCTTCAGTTAGCTAGCCTTGCGAATGGTCTAAAGATGCTTTACAGACCACTTCAAAAAGTAATTGGAATTAGTCATCAAGCTGAAAGATGAATGAGTTATGGTGAGTAGCTTTGTGTATTGCTCAGGCAAAGGAGAGCTCAACCCAAATAACTTTGGAATTTGAAAGTTCTTGGGTTTAACTATACCTGGGAAAAACTACATCAAAATTAATAGTAAGCACAGTTTTTTGCATTAGTCATCGATATGTCTACATGTGACTCATACCTCATTCACACCAACGGTGTTTCAGGGCCGGTTCGGAGCTGGAGCTTGAAAAGCACCGGGTTTTCCTCTTCACACCGCAGCGGAGCAGCCTCTTAGCTCCGGAATCCGGTTCGTTTCAAGCACCAAAAAATTGTCCGGCCAGAGCAAAAGCACCGCATACGTCACGCTTACGTCGAGGCGGGGGCTGGGGCAGGGGCGGGATCAACTCCTGAACAACAACAAAAAGCCGGCGTTTTATCCAGTTTGTACACAACGATGGAGAAACTTAACAAGCAGCAGTGGTCCACTGAAGAGACCAGCTGCCTACTGGGAATCTGGTCTTCCGAAGAGGTACAGAGGAAGCTGGAGCACAATCGGCCATTGTTGTTGTTGTCGGTGTCAGCTGTGAGGGGTTTCCGCGCGGTTTGGCTTTATGAAGCGGGCAAGCAAACGGTTACGTCATGACGCAAACGATGACGCAATGACGCAGCACCAGTCGGACTCTGGGCAGTGTGAAAAGAGCCGGAGCTAAACCGAAGAACCGGTTCTGAAACTGAAAAGCTCTAGCACGGAGCTTGAACCGGAGTTACGTTGGTGTGAATGAGGTATCAGGTACCTTTTACTTGTCCTGACCAGCATATGAGTTGCTCACAGCAGACATGGTTAAATCCAGACTCACACAGACATTCTGAACCCATCACCGCAAACTGAAACACAGCTTTAAGCTATCAGCAGATAGTTTTAACCACAGAGCGTTGTTTAGCACATCATAGTACAATACAGAGAGCTGTTTGCTCTGTCACATCGTCAGAGTGTAAACCTCCTCAGCAGTCCACAGTCCTGTGACAGATAAACACACTCTGTTTACAAAATGCACAAGCTAACCTGGTATTCTTCAATGAAAATACTTAAATACCAAATAGCTCAACACTTTTTTCTGAGAACTAAATGGTTTTGATGTTGTCTTAAAATGTTTGAAAGACTACAGTATTGAATAGGGAAGATGCCTTAGATGTGTTTGCTGTAAGAGTCCCAAACAAGCAAATAACTGTTTACTTATAGAGCCAAAAGTCACTGATGCATGGAATGATGATTGTCAGCCAAAAAGGACTTTTGCCATCTACACTCAGTTCTAGTGAACTATTGGGGGATTGGTCTTTGTTACTTTCACAGCTGTTGCTCTGCTTTTTGGTGGGAAAAGTGTCTCCAAAAAAAAGTTTTCTTTAACTTGAAGAACTGCTGTGAAACATTTTGGAAACAAAACATTGTTATAATAATCTTTCTACAGGTCGACGTTGATGGGCATGGGGTCAGGAACGAGTGGAGGTGGTGCGGCCAACCCCTGGCTGATCAACGAGTCAGAGGACACCAGAGGGCTGACCTTTGGCGAAATCAAACAGCAGCAACAACGAGTCATTGAAGGTAATTACACATAATTGAGTTTTTGAATTAGTGTAATGAGTTTCTAAACGCTTTTCTACCTTTTCTTACCGTAATATAAAGTTAATAATTTACCAAATTCCTTTTCCATTAACAACAAGCAGATCAGGATAGCGAAACCAAAAACACTTATCATCAAGCCTGAAATCTAACTAACCCTAATCTGTAGGGACCCTAGGCTATACTGGTGTGTGCTAACATATAAAGATGATGATGAAAGTTTAAAAAAGATTCCTCAAAGTCTCTGACATGATTTGATTACTTAGACAATAGTTCACCTTACTCCAAGTGACACTTCATTGCTATGTCCCCATTACGGCTCTGGTTATTGTCAATTTGGGATCACAGATTCCCCTTTAGACAGTGAAACCAAACCACATGGAGGTTTCCATGTGGCTTCCCTGTGGGATTTCTGGTGCGGTTGGGTAATGGTGAGCGCCTGAGCCTGTGGTAATAAAAAAATCCTGTGGTACAGAGTGTGTCAAACTTGGAAACCTACAAAGACCAAAACTTTTCTTTTCTTTTCTTTTTTCTTTTCTTTTCTTTGTTCCTTTCTTTCTTTTCTTCTTTTCTTATATTTTCTTTCAGCTTTAGTGTTTTTTCTCTGCACCTTGGTCTGCCGCAGTTATAATAACATGAGTATGGTTGAGTGGGGTAAAGTACTGAATGACTCACATGTGGCACTGTGAGCGGAGCTGGACCCCAGCAGCCTGTCATTCCTATTTCTCAAATAGTTGGCTCATTATATTACAAGTACAGTATACTCTAATTGCTCCCGTCTTACAATTTGATTTTATCAAATGGCGACTGCAGTGTTACTTTATTGTTTGTAGTACCATTCTGGTACAAATCACATTAATTGTATTGTTTACAATAAACCTTTTCCCTGTATGGTTGTCTGGCATTGCTTAATCTCAGTGCTTTAACAGTAAGTTTTCCTATTTTATCTGGTATAAAATTAAACTTTCCTTTCTACACAGTCCAGGATGCAGGCTTGGATGCACTCGCAGCTGTCATCAGCCGGCATAAGATAATGGGCCAGGAGATCGGCAATGAGCTGGATGAACAGAATGGTAAAGTTGAATTTGCATGTGTTTCTGTACATATTCGTCAAAAGAAACATTCCAGACACATTACACACTGCTGTGCGAAAGCAACCAGACATAGTTGTTCTGCAATGGAACGTCTTGCCTCAAGTAAACTGTTGGACAGTGATACTCCCTCACGCCACCGCAACATGGTCATAGCACACCCACACCCTCACACTACCATTGCCGGGAAGACTGACCTCAAATTCAGGTCAAGGGCATCTTCACCAGATTATCCTTTGTCTTGCATACATAAATAATCTTTATTCTGCTTAAATGCATTGAAAAACATGCAAAGGTTTTGTGGAATCAGATCTGCTCAGAAATAATGGTGCTTTGGAGTTATTTCAGTTATTTCATCAGTCCTTAAATAGCTTCCCTCACAAGTATATATTGCCATAAAGAACAGAGGGCATTGCCCCAGACTGCTTTATTTTCAGACAGGCGGTACTTGAGACATAAGACTTTGGGACGATCATCTGTCAACCGGAGAACAATTAGATCCATTAATGCATCGCTCTCACAAGATGTGAGAGAAGTTTTTGTATTGAATTTTGAGCGCTATCTCTAATGTCTACACTCACAGCAAACCAAACAAGTATGTCGGCTTCTTTTTCTCACAATCGGGAAAAGAAAATCTACAATTCAGACACTGCAGGTCAATTAAAGGAAGAGTTAGTGAGTGTCACTGTAGAAGGGGGACTGGTGTCTTTGTCACAGACAGTTAGGAAGACACTCTAGACTTAATATTTCTTTCTCAATGGCTACCCAACCTTGACCTAATAAAACAGGGTTCTAGTTGTTGGCGAGCTATGCTGCTTTTCTGAGTTGTACAATTAGCGAAAAACAAGGGGATAACACCTCAATCTTGACATGGGGCTTTTAGGACATTGTTGGAGCCTAGCGTCAAGTTAAATTCATTATTTTTAAGGTTTTTAATTTGTGTCAATCTCAGAGAAGATCCCTAATGGGCTTTTCATGTGCATTTGTCTCCCACACATTAAGTACAGACAGTTATTGTCTGTTTCTACAACATTGACGGTCTTCTAGTTGGGAAAAGAAGGCGTTGTACTACACTGCAATATCCTGTCTGAGCAGTTGTTCCCAAACAGGTTGTATAACAAAGTGATCTCGACATGGAAACAAACGACCTTGCCTTCTGCTGAGAAGGAATGGCAGATGTTTGCTTGACACCAATGGGAGAATGGAAGAGAAAGAAAGGAAAGCTGATTGTTTTAGCCCTCTTTCCTGTGACCATGTTGAACTGGAGATGGATCATTGCTCTAATGCTCCGACTGGCGTGCTTTTCTTCTCGCTCTTTCAGCTTGAAGTCAGTGTTTCCAATAATATGAATGTGAACGGGTGATGGGAGAGTTGTAACTGAGAATTCCACCAGTTCCACCGCAAGAAAGCGAAAGCAACTTCATTTTGCCGTGGAAACAATGGCCTGTCCATACACTCATCTTTAGATTCTACATGACAATTCATTTTGAAACTCAATTATGTATTTCGGTAATGACCCCACACCATTTGTTGGTATTGTAATCAGCTCTATGGGGGTAAATCAAAACTATAGGAAAGTATAGAATCTTAACATAACACATTTTCATCATATTTGGTTAACATTTAGGAAAGCATATCTTGGTATTATGATATAATAACACTTGGATATAGACTTCCCTTTTTTATTACTCAATATATTCATGGCACATGCTGTGTAACTTTTGTCCCTGTGTACATAAAGACAGATGATAAAGTGTGGATGTAGAATTTCTTCTCAAACCAATCCAAGCCACTCCCGGTCTCTCCACAATTTACGACCTTAGCTCCGGGTTCATAAGGCCTGCTGACAACAGGCAATACTTCACAGAGCTGTGGCCTTCCACAGTTTTTCTTTACCTCCCCCTGTTTCTTTCCTTTCGTGGGACCTTTGCTGACCCTCCATCTCTCATCTCATTCCGTTTTCCTTTGTGTCTTTTAACAGTCCAGATATTTTCCGTCTCTTCTGTATCCTCTCATCCTAAATTATGGGAGATGCCCTTGTTCCTTAGTGTTCCACAGGATGGAGAAAAGGGAATATATCAAACATCTAGTTGACGAACTAGTGTATAATGGGACTGCTTGAGTTCTCTTAGCCTGATTGAGGGTTTGTGATTGAGGGCTCTTTTGAGTTTTGATAAAGAATAGTAACACAGTCTACAATATGTTCCTGTATTTATTTCTGTGTTTAAAAAAGTATATGCAGAGTAAGTGTTGCCTGAATGCTGCCCATATGTACAGTTGTAAAGACTTAGGGGTGACTTATTTTGTTAGTTAGTGTTGAACCCTGTGTGTTGACAGTAGAAAAAAGTATGCTCGTCCTCCTTGTTTTTTTAACTTTCAGTCTTGTGTGTGTTGTTTGAGCTCTAGATTTTTGAGTCACTGACAATTTGCAAATCACTCAATATAAGAAAATGGCAACTCATAACTGTTTTCCCCCCTCATTCCTGCTTGGCATAGCAAGTTATTGTGTAAGTACTGTTGCTATGACAGTTGTATTTATTACAAAATAATATATGGTATGATATAACCAAAGTATATTTATGAAGAGACTGTTGTTACTTTTCCGTTGTAGGCTATGCCCTCACTTCAGCTCTCTTCGGTAGTTAATCCAGTATGTGAGGAATGTAGCTTTTGTATTCTTTAGTTTTACATCCCTGTTATTAAAGCATTAACTATGCTCTGATTCAAACTATGGCTAAAGTGTGGCTTCTCCTAGTACTGTTTTTCCAAATATGAGACATTAAGTCTCAACAAATTAATGTGGACTGCAAATAAAAAACTGAAAAGACAGTTATTCTTGTACTCAAATTCGTTTTTATTATTATTGCATGAGACAGCTTTGTTGGCGCTGCATTTCTTACTTGTATTATATTATGTCAACATCGACAATGTAAAAAGTAAGTAATGTTTTCAGAGAGGCAAGGAAAATGGATATAAGTTATTAAGCAGGCGAATGGCAAGGCTCCTCGTTGATCTTGACAGTTGGCGCGTAACCTTGGCGTCCGACTGTCTTTCTGTCTTGTAGGGTTCCTTTTTCCCCTGATCACTGTACTGTGGCAGTGTTTTCCTATAAATAGATTAAGCGCTTTATAGTTTGGCTCCTCAAGTCTAGCTCACGACCCAAGTGCAGTGGAGGTTGCAATCATTTCCTTTTTCGGGAAACAAATCCGGCTGAGGTCAGCAAGGAAGATGACCCTTTTCAGAGGTTTAGAGATGAACCCAAAGCCCCCAGTTACTCCCCTCTCACTCTCAACTGGATCAAAATGCACTGAATATAAAAAAAGTGAGCAGACCGATTACCTCAATTTCAGTCTGCTTTACAACTCATAACATTAATCCATTGCATACTGAACATTTTCCTTACTAGCCAGTCATAACAAAAAGAGAAATTAAATCATGATTGTTAGTGTGGTAAAGTTAGTTAAACGATGAGCTGTCATCACGTTTTTTCATTTTTTAACATGATGTTACTGAATAGTAATGGTATATTTTCATTTCCAAATTAAATGTTGCAGAAAATAGTCCGGCACACACCAACGGGAATGGCTTGCATCAGCACTAGTCTGCCTTCCCGCCGAGGAAGATCAACATTAATTTATCTTTATTGGTGTTGATATTTCTCATATTGTGGCCTGGACAATGACTCACTCCGAGTCAATGTCTTGTACTTCTGTCTCTACAGACAGTGGCTGGCTTGGGAAAATGGCGGTACGAGTTTGAGGCTGTCTCAGATTTTAAGGGGCTTCATTTAAATGTGTTTTGACTGGTGGTGAGATACTGCAGCTATGACATATGCCATGTACTGTTAAAACTCTTGTCTACAGTAGAAATGATTAAAAACCATATGATGTAATAGAGACTCAATAATACACGCAAACTAAATCCTCTTTCAGGTGTGGACTAATCAAATGAATGCATGAATGATGCGTTTATCTATTTTAAACCATGTCTGAAGTTCAACAGGAGTCTAATTTTGTTGTTGTTGGTAAAAGTGTGTGCCAACCACTTACCATGAGAAACAGAATAGGCCTCGCTCCAATGATGGACTTCTTGCTAATAATTAGATCACTGATTTGATTTGCGTAAGCAGAGCATGTATAGGCCCAAGCTGGACAGCACTAATGACATCCAAATAAACAGTAGAGTGAGAGGAGAGGGGCACTTACTGCTGCAGCTCAGTGACATCAGCCTTTACCCCACAGAACACAGCCCTGTGCTTGCTTCTGCTTTTAGAAACAGTTCGGTGAGCAAATAAACCATACTAATGATGGCACTGGGCAAAAAGTCAGTGTGGTTAGACTTGTAGATTGATTTATTGTTTGTTTGATTTGCTCCGTTTGAAAATGAGGCGAGTAGTAGTGAGTAGTGTTTTCCAGACGGCATGGAAATGCAGAGTCAAGATGTGATATTCAAAAGAGTGTTGTCACCAGAGGAATGGCTAGTTTGCAATGAGCCGCGAAAGAGGGCATCATTTTGTGTCACCACCAGATTGGCTGACTGGTGTTTGACTTTGGAAATAATCCAGAACTGTCCGTACGTGATGGAGGGATTACACACCCACGCTGTGATATTATTTGTTCACATTTTTCATGCCAACTACACTGCTCTCAAGATACCTCTGTGAACTGAGAATAACCTATGCAGGGCTGCAACTAATGATTAAATCCATTATTGTGTTTTCTTTCTCAATGCAATTTCTTTTTCATTAATTCAGTCATTTATTCTTAAAATACAAAATAAAAGTGACAAAAGCCCCACATTTCAATAACCTATGTTATGTGTCAAAAAACAAAAAGGATCCAAATAGGAGGAATGAAAGATCTCATCCTTCAAATACATATATCAATTAATTGTATTTTTAGATCCTTGGGATGTTTCCAAATTGAAAAGCATTTCGATTTTAGACAATGATATAAAGCTATGTATAAAGTTGTGTTTTAACCAGATTATTCAATGTTTACTCAACCTTACAACAATAGTTTTATAGATTAAACTGTTCTTTATTTAAACTTTTAAAAAGATTATTCTGTTTTAGAGAGTTTAAGATTCTGAAAAGACATTGATGACAGTGAATGAGTGATGGAATGACAACTAAAAGACCAAATGAAGATTGGCCTGTCACCTCAATTCCCCAGGCCAAGCCTCCTGTGCCCAGCTTCCTAACCAGGATACGATCAATCACGAGCCCTTTTGCCCTTGTTTCTCTATCTATCCATCCCAGCATCCATCTCTGTCTGAGGCCTGTTGGTGTCACACTGATAGAGTTGTGAAGAAGAGGGGCCCAATGACATGAGGGACTTGGGTCGCATCAACCACAAGCCTGTGATGAATATTCCAGTTTAGGCACAGCAGGGAAATTAACATTTCTGGTAGCTAAAGAAACACAACTTGAGACATTTCATCAATCACACCTTCTTTTGTTTCCCTCACTGGATTCATGCCCCTTTTTAACAGTCAGAAAGCATGGGATTTGGCTTAGATTTTCTCCACTTTCCGTTTTAAATGTAGCTTTTTAATAGTGTTTTTAGGCCCCTGGTTATTCTTACGTGTCTTTTCTGCCTGTGTGATTTTATTGGCATTGATTGTATTGAATTGAAAGTATTTGTTGAAATGAAAAAAATCCACACGTAAAAATGTTTTCTTATGTGGGTTTTCCAACAGTAGCTTGTTTTCAAATACACACTCACTTTTGTTATTTACTGACCATGCAGAGAAATCAATCATACCTTCTTGATTATGAAAGGCAGAATAAGTAGGATTGTTGTTAAAAACAATATTTAAAGGGGACCTATCATGCAAAATGCACTTTGTGATGTCTTTTATACATAAATATGTGTCCCCGATGCGTCGGGGAACTCACGCAGCGTCAGAAAATAAAACCCTCTCTCTTTTCCTCCAAACCCAAATCTTTTAAAACTGGGTGTACAACGAGCGGATACAGATTCCATCCGATCTGACCTATGGATCTGACGTCAAATCGGCGGCGGCCCCACAGAAAGTTGCTATCAGAAACAATGCCTGACGTGTTTTGGACGTCTTTGTTTACATTAGCAAGCCTCGCTAACACTCAGAGCTAACCTGTATTGAAGAGCACATGTGTTTTTAAAAAGCAGAAAATAAAAAAAGAACTCACCTTGTGATAAACCTGCAAGAGAAAAAGCATTTGAGCTCCATACTATTTCAGAAATAATCCTCAACGTGGTTTAAACAGGATGGTCCGTTTTATCACAGCAGAATTTAACTTTATCT